CCCCCCCACCTTCTCCCCCCAACACCTCCTTCCCCTCCCCCCACCTTCTCCCCCCAACACCTCCTTCCCCTCCCCCCCACCTTCTCCCCCCACACCTCCTTCCCCTCCCCCCCAACTTCTCCCCCAACACCTCCTTCCCCTCCCCCCCACCTTCTCCCCCCAACACCTCCTTCCCCTCCCCCCCACCTTCTCCCCCCAACACCTCCTTCCCCTCCCCCCCACCTTCTCCCCCCAACACCTCCTTCCCCTCCCCCCCACCTTCTCCCCCCAACACCTCCTTCCCCTCCCCCCCACCTTCTCCCCCAACACCTCCTTCCCCTCCCCCCACCTTCTCCCCCCAACACCTCCTTCCCCCCTCCCACCCCCCCACCTGCTCCCCCCAACACCTCCTTCCCCTCCCCCCCACCTTCTCCCCCCAACACCTCCTTCCCCTCCCCCCACCTTCTCCCCCCAACACCTCCTTCCCCTCCCCCCCACCTTCTCCCCCCAAACACCTCCTTCCCCTCCCCCCACCTTCTCCCCCCAACACCTCCTTCCCCTCCCCCCCACCTTCTCCCCCCAACACCTCCTTCCCCTCCCCCCCACCTTCTCCCCCCAACACCTCCTTCCCTCCCCCCCACCTTCTCCCCCAACACCTCCTTCCCCTCCCCCCCACCTTCTCCCCCCAACACCTCCTTCCCCTCCCCCCCACCTTCTCCCCCCAACACCTCCTTCCCCTCCCCCCCACCTGCTCCCCCCAACACCTCCTTCCCCTCCCCCCCACCTGCTCCCCCAACACCTCCTTCCCCTCCCCCCCACCTTCTCCCCCCCAACACCTCCTTCCCCTCCCCCCCACCTTCTCCCCCCAAAACACCTCCTTCCCCTCCCCCCCCACCTTCTCCCCCCAACACCTCCTTCCCCTCCCCCCCACCTTCTCCCCCCAACACCTCCTTCCCCTCCCCCCACCTTCTCCCCCAACACCTCCTTCCCCTCCCCCCCACCTGCTCCCCCAACACCTCCTTCCCCTCCCCCCCACCTTCTCGTCCCCCCTTCTCCCCCAACACCTCCTTCCCTCCCCCCCACCTTCTCCCCCCAACACCTCCTTCCCCTCCCCCCCACCTTCTCCCCCCAACACCTCCTTCCCCTCCCCCCCACCTTCTCCCCCCAACACCTCCTTCCCCTCCCCCCCACCTGCTCCCCCCAACACCTCCTTCCCCTCCCCCCACCTTCTCCCCCCAACACCTCCTTCCCCTCCCCCCCACCTTCTCCCCCCAACACCTCCTTCCCCTCCCCCCCACCTTCTCCCCCCAACACCTCCTTCCCCCTCCCCCCCACCTTCTCCCCCCAACACCTCCTTCCCCTCCCCCCCACCTTCTCCCCCCAACACCTCCTTCCCCTCCCCCCCACCTTCTCCCCCCAACACCTCCTTCCCCTCCCCCCCACCTTCTCCCCCAACACCTCCTTCCCTCCCCCCCACCTTCTCCCCCCAACACCTCCTTCCCCTCCCCCCCACCTTCTCCCCCCAACACCTCCTTCCCCTCCCCCCCACCTTCTCCCCCAACACCTCCTTCCCCTCCCCCCCACCTTCTCCCCCAACACCTCCTTCCCCTCCCCCCCACCTTCTCCCCCAACACCTCCTTCCCCTCCCCCCCACCTTCTCCCCCCAACACCTCCTTCCCCTCCCCCCCACCTTCTCCCCCCAACACCTCCTTCCCTCCCCCCCACTTCTCCCCCCAACACCTCCTTCCCTCCCCCCACACCTTCTCCCCCCAACACCTCCTTCCCCTCCCCCCCAACCTTCTCCCCCCAACACCTCCTTCCCCTCCCCCCCACCTGCTCCCCCCAACACCTCCTTCCCCTCCCCCCCACCTTCTCCCCCCAACACCTCCTTCCCCTCCCCCCCACCTTCTTCCCCCCAACACCTCCTTCCCCTCCCCCCCACCTTCTCCCCCAACACCTCCTTCCCCTCCCCCCCACCTTCTCCCCCAACACCTCCTTCCCTCCCCCCCACCTTCTCCCCCCAACACCTCCTTCCCCTCCCCCCCACCTTCTCCCCCCAACACCTCCTTCCCCTCCCCCCCAACCTTCTCCCCCCCCAACACCTCCTTCCCCTCCCCCCCACCTGCTCCCCCCAACACCTCCTTCCCCTCCCCCCCACCTTCTCCCCCCAACACCTCCTTCCCCTCCCCCCACCTTCTCCCCCCAACACCTCCTTCCCCTCCCCCCACCTTCTCCCCCCACACCTCCTTCCCCTCCCCCCCCCCTTCTCCCCCCAACACCTCCTTCCCCTCCCCCCCACCTTCTCCCCCCAACACCTCCTTCCCCTCCCCCCACCTTCTCCCCCCAACACCTCCTTCCCCTCCCCCCCACCTTCTCCCCCCACACCTCCTTCCCCTCCCCCCCACCTTCTCCCCCCAACACCTCCTTCCCCTCCCCCCCACCTTCTCCCCCCAACACACTCCTTCCCCCCTCCCCCCCCCACCTTCTCCCCCCAACACCTCCTTCCCCTCCCCCCCACCTTCCTCCCCCAACACCTCCTTCCCCTCCCCCCACCTTCTCCCCCCAACACCTCCTTCCCCTCCCCCCCACCTTCTCCCCCCAACACCTCCTTCCCCTCCCCCCCACTTCTCCCCCCAACACCTCCTTCCCCTCCCCCCACACCTTCTCCCCCCAACACCTCCTTCCCCTCCCCCCCACCTTCTCACCCCAACACCTCCTTCCCCTCCCCCCCACCTTCTCCCCCAACACTCTCCTTCCCCTTCCTCTCCCCCAACACCTCCTTCCCCTCCCCCCCACCTTCTCCCCCCAACACCTCCTTCCCCTCCCCCCCACCTTCTCCCCCCAACACCGTCCTTCCCTCCCCCCAACCTTCTCACGCCCAACACCTCCTTCCCCTCCCCCCCACCTTGCTCCCCACCAACACCTCCTTCCCCTCCCCCCCACCTGCTCCCCCCAACACCTCCTTCCCCTCCCCCCCACCTTCTCCCCCCAACACCTCCTTCCCCTCCCCCCCACCTTCTCCCCCCAACACCTCCTTCCCCTCCCCCCCACCTTCTCTCCCCACACCTCCTTCCCCTCCCCCCCCACCTTCTCCCCCCAACACCTCCTTCCCCCCCCCCACCTTCTCCCCCCAACCTCCCTTCCCCTCCCCCCCACCTTCTCCCCCCAACACCTCCTTCCCCTCCCCCCACCTTCTCCCCCCAACACCTCCTTCCCCTCCCCCCCACCTTCTCCCCCCAACACCTCCTTCCCCTCCCCCCACCTTCTCCCCCCACACACCTCCTTCCCCTCCCCCCCACCTTCTCCCCCCAACACCTCCTTCCCCTCCCCCCCACCTTCTCCCCCCAACACCTCCTTCCCCTCCCCCCCACCTTCTCCCCCCAACACCTCCTTCCCCTCCCCCCCCCCTTCTCCCCCCAACACCTCCTTCCCCTCCCCCCCACCTTCTCCCCCCAACACCTCCTTCCCCTCCCCCCCACCTTCTCCCCCCCACCCTCCTTCCCCCTCCCCCCCCACCTTATCCCCCAACACCTCCTTCCCCTCCCCCCCACCTTCTCCCCCCAACACCTCCTTCCCCTCCCCCCCACCTTCTCCCCCCAACACCTCCTTCCCCTCGCCCCCACCTTCTCCCCCCCAACACCTCCTTCCCTCCCCCCCCACCTTCTCCCCCAACACCTCCTTCCCTCCCCCCACCTTCTCCCCCCAAGCACCTCCTTCCCCTCCCCCCCCACCTTCTCCCCCCAACACAGTCCTTCCCCTCCCCCCCACCTGCTCCCCCCAACACCTCCTTCCCCTCCCCCCACCTTCTCCCCCAACACCTCCTTCCCCTCCCCCCACCTTCTCCCCCCAAACACCTCCTTCCCCTCCCCCCGGACCACCTTCTCCCCCCAACCACCTCCTTCCCCTCCCCCCCACCTTCTCCCCCCAACACCTCCTTCCCCTCCCCCCCACCTTCTCCCCCCAACACCTCCTTCCCCTCCCCCCCACCTCTCCCCCCAACACATCCCCCCAACACCTCCTTCCCCTCCCCCCCACCTTCTCCCCCCAACACCTCCTTCCCCTCCCCCCCACCTTCTCCCCCCAACACCTCCTTCCCCTCCCCCCCATGCTGGTGTTCCCATTGGAGCGCGAGCTGTGCTATCAGGTGTTCGCAGGCCTTCATCCCCTCAGAGACCCCTTGTTCCCACCCCCTCGCTCCCTCCCACACCCCCCCCCTCCACACCCCCCTCTCCAGATGATGCTGGTGTTCCCACTAGATCGAGAGCTATGCTACCAGGTGTTCGCGGGGCTGGACCCCCACAGGGAGATCTCCTCCCCGCCTCCCTGCTCCCCCCCACCCCTCTCTCTCCGTCCCCCCCTCCCCTATCACAGATGATGCTGGTGTTCCCACTAGAACGAGAGCTATGCTACCAGGTGTTCGCGGGGCTGGACCCCCACAGGGAGATCTCCTACGCTGAGATGGGCGACCGCGGCCTCTCCCTGCTGCTCTCGTTCGGCGAGGCCATCGCGTCCAGCCAGAAGTCGCCTGAGAAGCTCTTTGTGCTGCTCGACATGTACGAGACGATCCGCGACTCCATGCCCATGGTGAGACTCCATGCCCATGGTGAGACTCCATGCCCATGGTGAGAAAGATGCCATGCCATACCCATGGTGAGGAGGAGGCGGCATGCTCATGGTTTAAAGCCCTTTATTTCTTGTCGTGCCCAGTCACAGTGTCATCATGACATGATGGTGCAATCGCATCAGCTTCTTTCCTTTCCTTTCGAAATCCACCCTTTCCCATCTTCCTCTCCTCTCCTCCTCATCCCCCCTTCTCCCCTCCCCCCCCACCCCCCCTTCCCCGTCCTCCTCCTTCCCCTTCTTCCCTTTCCTCTTCCGCTTCCACCCCTCCAGGTGATAGACGCCTTCCCCGGCAATGCATGCATCCCATGCCGCGTGTACCTGCGCTCGCTGCAGCGCATTCTGGCGGAGATCAGCCGGGACACGTTCAACCTTTCCCCCCCGCTGTCCCTCCCCCCCAGGTGATAGACGCCTTCCCCGGCAACGCGTGCATCCCGTGTCGGGAGTACCTGCGCTCGCTGCAGCGCAGCCTGGCGGAGATCAGCCGGGACACGTTCAGCGAGTTTGAGGACGCCGTGGAGAAGGACAGCACGCGTACTCCTGTGGCTGATGGCACCGTGCACCCACTCACCAGCTACGTCATCAACTACGTCAAGTTTCTGTTTGAGTGCGTATGGTTCTGTGCGGTTCAGTACGGTTCTGTATGGGTTCGTATGGTCTGTGGGTGACGCGGTGGAGAAGGACAGCACACGCACGCCCGTGGCTGACGGCACAGTGCATCCGCTCACCAGCTACGTCATCAACTACGTCAAGTTTCTGTTCGAGTGCGTATGGTTCTGTGCGGTGATGTAAGGTGATGTGCGGTTGTGCGGGTGACGCTGTGCATCCCCAAGGCACCATGCACCCGCTCACTGGCTACGTATCAAGTTCCTCTTCGAGTGCGTACTGTCTGGTTCTCTGAGGTTCTGTGCGGTTCTGTGCGGTGATGTGCGGTTCTGTGGTTGACACTGTGTGCATCCCCAACGCGCTGTGCACCCGTTCACCAGCTTCATCATCGCATTTTCCCCCGCTCCTCCCTCCCTCCTCTCTCTTCCATCCCCCAGCTACGAAGGGACGTTACGGCAGCTGTTTGAGGAAGTGGAGAAAGAAAGAGGCGAGAAGGACTGGCAGTGCGGGGACTCATTCGCACGCCAGAAGCCGAGGCTGGAGGTGGCGACGCTGCGCATCCTGACAGTGCTGGAGAGCAACCTGGAGGGAGGGGCGTGCATGAAGGGGCGTGCATGAAGGGGCAACTCTCACACCTGTCAAGACCTCTGTCCCCCCTCCCTTTCTTCTCTTTTCATCACGTTTTCCCCCACCCCTCCTCCCCCCCCCTCCTCTATCCCCATCCCCCAGTTATGAAGGCACGTTAAGGCAGCTGTTTGAGGAAGCAGAGAAAGAGCGGGGTGAAAAAGACTGGCAGGGCGGGGACCCATCCGCCCGGCAGAAGCCGCGGTTGGAGGTGGCGACGCTGCGCATCCTCACAGTGCTGGAGAGCAACCTGGAGGCCAAGGCGAAGCTGTACAAGGACCTCGCGCTCACACAGCTCTTCCTCATGAACAACAAGCACTACATCGTGCGCTCCATCCGCAAGTGAGTGCTGAGAGAGCGGGAGGCACTGCACTGCACCGCACCGCACTGCATTGCATTCGTTGGTTGGTTGGTACGCAAGGGACCTGGCGCTCACACAGCTGTCTCTCATGAACAGCAAGCACTACATCGTGCGATCGATTCGCAAGTGAGTGCTGAGAGAGAGAGAGAGGCAAACACTGCATTAGAGAGAGGGCCATTAGAGAGAGGCAAACACTGCATTAGAGAGAGGGCCATTAGAGAGAGGCAAACACTGCATTAGAGAGAGGGCCATTAGAGAGAGGCAAACACTGCATTTCACTGGACCCCCGACCTTGCAGGTCGGAGCAGGCGAGGCAGTTGGTGGGGGAGGAGTGGATTCAGCATCTGTTGATTGCCATGCGATGTCGCCACCCACTACCCCCTCCCCCTGCTTACCCTGTCTGTCTCCCTCCCTCTCTCCGCCTCCCTCCCCTTCCCCTCCCCCCCGCCCCTGCAGGTCGGAGCAGGCGAGGCAGCTGGTGGGGGAGGAGTGGATACAGCGGCATCGCAAGATAGTGCAGCAGCACCAGGCCATGTACCAGAAGCTGGCTTGGAGCAAGGTGAGAGATAGTGCAGCAGCACCAGGCCATGTACCAGAAGCTGGCTTGGAGCAAGGTGAGAGATAGTGCAGCAGCACCAGGCCATGTACCAGAAGCTGGCTTGGAGCAAGGTGAGAGATAGTGCAGCAGCACCAGGCCATGTACCAGAAGCTGGCTTGGAGCAAGGTGAGAGATAGTGCAGCAGCACCAGGCCATGTACCAGAAGCTGGCTTGGAGCAAGGTGAGAGGCGAGGGGTGTAGGGGGGAGGAGGGAAGAACATGGGGGGAGAGCAAGGTGAGAGATCGTGCAGCAGCATCAGGCCATGTACCAGAAGCTGGCGTGGAGCAAGGTGAGAGGCGAGGGGGGTGAGGCGAGGAGGCGAGAGTATACATCAGTCACATGAGAGATAGTGCAGCAGCACCAGGCCATGTACCAGAAGCTGGCATGGAGCAAGGTGAGAGCATGGGAGAGGCAAGAGTGTGCATGGGTCACATCACATCACATCACATCACATCACATCACATCACATCACATCACATCACATCACATCACATCACATCACATCACATCACATCACAGTGCAGTGCAGCATCTGGGAGCCCCTGGTTCCGCCACGATTTTGGGAGCCCCTGGTTCATCGTGGGATGGCATGGCAGTTTTGCGGCGCCTTCAAAACTAGCAGTGGATCTGCCATGATAGTCTGCCAATACGGTCATTGTGGGATGGGATGGGATGGGATGGGATGGGATGGGATGGGATGGGATGGGATGGGATGGGATGGGATGGGATGGGATGGGATGGGATGGATCGAAATGCCCCCACCAGCACACGCCACTTATTCCCGCCCCTCCTTGTGTCCGCCACCATCACACGCTGTGCCAGCAGGTGCTGGGCATGCTAATCGTGCTTTGAGATACCTACCCAGCACACTCCATCCATCCCATCCCAGCATGCCCCATCCCAGCAGAGCCCGCACTGAGCAAGGCTCAATCTAGGCCATAAACCATAAATCCGGAACCCTTCTGCTCTCCCGAGTTGACTTTTGAGTCGACTCAGAAGTGGGCGTGCTGAGCCCGCACTGAGCAAGGCTAAACCCTCAATTTAGGCCCGAACCCGTAAACCCGAAAGTCTTCTGCTCTTCCCCCCACGCACTGTGCCACCCACCAGGTGCTGACCGTGCTGAGTCCGCAGGGGGAGGTGATAAACAAGAACACACTCAAGGAGAGGTGAGTGGGGTCCGTGGGGTGAGTCAGTGGGCTCAGTGGGGTGAGTCAGTGGGCTCAGTGGGGTGAGTGGGGTGAGTGGGGTGAGTGGGGTGAGTGGGGTGAGTGGGGTGAGTGGGGTGAGTGGGGTGAGTGGGGTGAGTGGGGTGAGTGGGGTGAGTGGGGTGAGTGGGTTGAGTGGGGTGAGTGGGGTGAGTGGGGTGAGTGGGGTGAGTGGGGTGAGTGGGGTGAGTGGGGTGAGTGGGGTGAGTGGGGTGAGTGGGTTGAGTGGGGTGAGTGGGGTGAGTGGGGTGAGTGGGGTGAGTGGGGTGAGTGGGGTGAGTGGGGTGAGTGGGGTGAGTGGGGTGAGTGGGGTCAGTGGGTTGTTGTACCTGCTGTGTGGGTGTGGGCTGCCTGGGGTGAACACTGCTGTAGCTGCTTTGTGCTTCGTGCTGGGCGGGCGTGCTGAGTGGGCAGGGGGAGCTGTTGCTGCTCGCTGACCTGCCTGGGATGAGTGAGTGGGGAAGGAGTGAGTGGGGCTGCTGTTTTTGCTCTGTGAGAAAAGGAGAAGGGGAGTGGTTCCTTGGTTGGGGGGAGAGTGGCATGGTGCGTAGGGTTGGGGCGACATAACTGCCGGTGTAACGATGCCATACCTGTATGCATCCGCTGCCCTGAACCCCACCATTCACACACATGCACCCTCCTTGCTCCTGGGTCTGCTCTCACGTGTGTGATGCCTTGGCAGGCTGAAGGTTTTCAACGCTGCGTTTGAGGAGCAATACAACAAGCAGGTGCGTGTGTGCGTGTGCATGTGTGCATGTGTGCATGTGTGCATGTGTGCATGTGTGCATGTGTGCATGTGTGCATGTGCGCATGTGCACGCGCTCGTGCGCGCGTATGTGTGCATGTGTGCGTTTGAGGGGCAATACAACAAGGTGCGTGTGTGTAAGAGAGGCTACGCGTCGCTTGGGTCCCTGTGAAATTGCGGTAACATTGTCACCACATCTATGCGCAGCAGACATTCAAAGCAACCTTACGTGTGTGTGCTGAGCAGTCTAAGAAGCAATGTGCACCTCACCTCACCGTTGTGCCACACGCGCTGCTTCTCTTCTCTGCACCCCAGGAGAGGTGACTTTTAAGTCGCCTCAAAAGTCACCTCGTTTTGAGTTGACTCAAAAGTCAAAAGTCACCTTGAGTCGACTCAAAAGTCACCTCGTGTGCTAAGCAGTCTAAATTTCTTGCGAGAAAATGTGATGGTAACCGGTTTTGGCGTGATACGCCTTGTTCAGACCACATGGAGAGGGGAACGCAAGACATATGAGTTGCACCTCGCCATTGTGCCACACGTGCTGCTTCTCTGCACCACCAGGAGAGGTCGACCTTAGGAGGAGGGAGTTGCAACTCATATGGCTTGTCTTGCCTTCCCCTCTCCTCTTCCTCTCCCTCTCCTCTTCCTCTCCCTCTCCTCTCCATCCCCCTACCAGCTCACATGGGCCATCCCAGACGCGGAGCTACACAAGGCAGTGCGGCAGGCAGTCATTAGTGCCCACCCGCCAAACCCATCCTCTCCTCCGCCAGCTCTTTCCACCCCCCTTCCTCCCCTCCGCCAGCTCACATGGGCCATCCCAGACGCGGAGCTACAGAAGGCGGTGTTGCCAGGCTGTCAGGGCAAGGCGCATGATCCACAAATCCCCCCACCCCCATCTCCTCCCTTTTCTCTCCCCTCTATCTCACCTGTCATCGACCAGGTGCTGCGATGTGATGCACTAACACTCCCCCCCAACCCCAACCCCACCCCCATTCCCATCCTCACCCCCCTCCCCCTCGCTGCCCCCTCTATCTCAGCTGTCATCCACCAGGTGCTGCGATGCGATGCACTAACGCCCCCATCCTCATCCCCATTCCTCCACCCCGCCGTCGCCCCCACCAGCTCACATGGACCATCCCAGACGCGGAGCTGCAGAAGGTGGTGCGCCAGGCTGTCATCGACCAGGTGCTGCCCGCCTACCGCGACATGCTCAAGCGCTACGGGTGAGCGGTGCTCAGCGGTCCTGTGAGGTGGTGATGGATGCTCGGGGGTGCTGATGGGTGCAGAGGGGTGCTTAGCGGTGCTGAGGGGTGCTGTACGGTGCTGATGGGACTCTTATGATCTTAAAAGGGGGTAATGGCAGTCATCGACCAGGTGCTGCCTGCCTACCGTGACATGCTCCGCCGCTACGGGTGAGTGGTGCTCAGGGGTGCTGTGTGGCCGTGGGGGATGCCGTGTGGTGCTGTTGTTGCTACAAAACGAAGGTAACTGCAGTCGCAAGGGTGATTGATCCTCGCCGCCTTCACACGATGTTGCATTTTTGTCATGCTTCAAGAAATTTGTCCATTGTGCCAACACCCATCCCGGATGGACGCATTTGGAATCTCGCCCAGCACTTCAAACACCATCTGGTCACTCTACCTCACTCCCCTCTCCTCCCCTCCCCTCTCCCCCCCTCTCCCCTCTCAGCCCGGTGGTGGTTGCTTTAAAGAATCTCACCAAGCACGTCAAGTATCAGCCGGAGGACATCGAGACGAGTTTTGAGTCGACTCGAAGCTTCCCTCCCTCCCTCTGGGTCCCATCCCCTCCCTCCCCCCTCTCCTTCTCCCCTTAGCCTGGTGGTGGACGCATTAATGAATCTCTTTAATCACATCAAGCACAAACACCAGCTGGTCACTCTAGCCACCCCTCTTTCCTCCCCTGCCCTCCTCCTCTCGTTCCAAACACCCCCCCCCCCCCCCCCCCCCCCCCCCCCCCCCCCCTCTCCCCTCAGCCCGGTGGTGGATGCGCTGAAGAATCTCGCCAAGCACGTCAAGTACCAGCCGGAGGACATAGAGCGGCTCATCCGCCAGCTCTTTGAGGGCCGCCAGGTGGTTGGCGAGGCCAGCAAGGGCAAGGCCTCGCTGCTCAAGTAGACACGTTGGGTTGGGGCATGATGTGTGAGGTTTGTGGAAATTGAGGATAAGTAGGAATCGTTTCTTGTTTTTTTTTTATTTTTTTATTTTTTTTTTACAAGAGCATGTATTTAGGTCTGCATGTGACCTGTCCTTGTATTCAAATAAATGGCTGAGCTGAATACTCTTTTGTTTTCAGCTCCAATAACTTTGTGTGAGTGTTGGGGTGAGGCTGTGTTATGGGGCTGCCTGGGTTTTGGGCCTCTGATGAATGGTATGCCTCCTCTGAGGCTTCTCATTCGCCAAAGAAAACCACACTACCGCCGCGGTGGTCGCCATTGGTGTAACACACTCCTTTCCATCCTCGGGCAGCCATTTTCAGCCCATCATGGTTTGAAGAGCTGCCCATGGCAACTTCGCCGCCAGTAGGTCGGTGCGCCACATCATATTCGCGAGTCGATCCCTGGTTTGGTTTTGCAGCCCGGGGGTCTGGCAGGGTCCAAACCAGTTGATAGCAAATGAACTCCCTGTGTTACTTGACCCAAACTTGTTGACCCAAACGGCATACCAAACCTTGTTGACTGGTCAGTGTGGGGGCCGGAACCAAACGCTGTCTTGTATGGCCCCAAACCTAGAATCGACAACATGGCCGATGAGCCGATAGGGCAAGGGGCGAAACCAATGCAGCAGACCGTGAAGTATGGCTTCTGGCGGATGCCAAGGGCGTCGTCACCGAACCGAACTGTAATATTTCAAAGCATTTTGTAGCACAAAGGCACAACTTAGCCTGGATGTTGGGCAGAAAAACTATCGAATTGCTGCTCCATCCACCAATCGTTGGATCTCGCGTGGAAACTTTTCCCCACACCAAAGCTCCCCAGCTTCCATCCCCAAAATCAACCACCAGCCTCATCGTCAGCCCAACCTCTAGCAAAATTCGGCTGCGATGTGTGCTGCTCTTCTATCGAGCAGCGCCAGTGGCAGCAGCAGCACCCACATAGTCTTCGCAACATGCACCCGTCACTCGCGCGCACATCCTGGTACTGTACAAACGACGCTTCGGCGCTCCCCCCCCCCTGCCGTTCTTATGACGGGCTTTTGCTTATCAAGCGCCTTATCTGAACCGAGCCTTGCTCCGAACAAGCCGCGACCTTTGCTGGGCCTTGGTGGTCCTAGACTCCATTCGGCGGTGATTAACGCCCAGGTCGACCGAGGATATCCGACGCTTCAAGCTTCAGACTTTTAAGCCGCGAAAATATTATTGTTCGGAATCACAGCTTGCTTTCCGGCCGCTTATCCATTTAACGGATTGTCTCGGAGTTGGATTTTGCGACGCGTCATCATGAATTCAGCGGCGGGAAGGCGGCGAACGAAGGCCGTGATTGGCGCGGCCCTCTTGCTGCTGCTCCTCGCCAGCACCTTTGTGGAAACTGCGGTCGCGGTGAGCCGAAAGGACGTGCGGCTTGCGCTGCAGAAGATTAGACGAAACCCGCGCCTTCAACGTTTGAACTTCAAGAAGTTCTTTCAAAAGTTTGGTGAGTACCAGCATTTTGCTAAAGTCACCCCACGATTTAGTATTTTTTAGAATCTCGTAAGGAGGTTGTTCCGCACCTGCGGTCGCGTGGCGTGATGACGTGGGAAATTGCCGATGTCACGTCGCTGGATCGCTGACTTTCTCATGTCCCTCGTGTCCCTTTGCCACGCTGGCACAGCTGCCCTCTCACGCCGGCCTAGCATTTGCCACACCGCCTCTACAGTCTCCATGCGTCGCCCGATCCATGCATCCCTGCAACACACCCTTCCATTCTGCTCCTCTTTCTCACCACTCTCCGCCCATTGCAGTGCTCTTAGCCATCAACCAGAAGGGCCCCATCACGCTCTTCCTCCCCACCGACCCCTACACCATGTACACAGCCTACTCGGCTGGCTACACGGCCCAAGACTTCGCCACTCTTGGCAAAAACAACATGATCCCAGAGTACCATGTCTACAAGGACTTTGTGCATGATGCTGCGGGTACAACCTACACCACAGTGCTGGGTGAAAAGGTGAAGAAGTGGAATGGTAAGCGCACCAAATTGGTGGCTTTGCAGGCAGCCAAGGGTCTGCCTAGTCTTGTTACATGGCCCAACATGTTCCAAGGGGATACTCTCGTGATTCACCTCGTGTCCCTAGCTTTGATTCCCTCATCCATGTGATACTATGTGATGTAACAGTTGTCTGTCTATGTAATTTAGCTATGTGTAGCATGAATGTCATTCCAAAATGTGAGATACCGAATGGCCAATAGCATACTGTTGCCCACATGGCTTACGCATGGAAAGGTAACCCCGCACAATTGTCTTACAGGTGCGCAAACTGCACGCTAGTAACGGCCCCACCTTCCACACCGGATAGAGGTGCTCACTGCATAGGCATACGGTGCCTTCGTTTTAGGAAGTTAAGCAGCGTAAAGTGCATGCATCACCCTGTCACAATCTCATTACTGGCATCCTGAGCTATTTTCTCATGCTAGCTCATTTACAGAAAAGAGAAGTAAGGAAAGGGGAATTCCAGTGTAGCCCCTATGAAGTCTGTACAAATATGTGGGCAATTCTCACATGTAATTCGTCTATATGAAGTGGTCCATCACTAGAAGAACAGACAATAGCCCTTTGGCTCCAGCAATGCAACATTTTCGCGTCGGTATTGGTCCAAGCACCGACGCGAGATCACGTCGAGCGAGTCGCGCAATTGACGACATTTATCAAGCCGCGGTGGGTGGTGAAGAGGCGCTAATGGTAAGATCGTATTGGTCAAACACTCTCCAGCTGCCTTGTAATTGGATTATCATCCCCATCAGGAACCAACCATGTTTGCGCGTTTCGAATTTGTTGGGGCAGGATGTACACAGCCGCCATGTCGGGAAGAAGAGCTGACCAGAACTTGGCTCTGTTTGGGTTTCTGGGCGTTGGTGGATTTGGGGAAGAGATCGACAAAGATACACATCTTCAACGTACTGAAACGTTCTAAAACCAACCAAAACTTGAACCACCGTACTTGATCTCGATCCGGGGGTTCAAAGCCTGCTTGTGATCAGGGCTTCCCCGTCTCCCTTCTCACCCGCACCTCGATGATAGGGTGTTGGCAGTGGATCTGGACAGGGAAGTCTGTCCTTTCCCCCTCTCTCACACCATGTTTCCTTCGTTGGAACATCTTACATTTCAGTGAAAAGAGGGAGCCACATCCCGACAGCTTCACTTCCGCTTCTAGTTGCAGTGCAGACAATCTTGCAGCGTATTACTCACCCTCGTCCCCGGTCTCAGTTAGCAGCTTTAACGTAGCAACGATCGATTCGTATCCTCCACGCTTGCGAAGTTACCATACCCATCAGCTTCCTTTCTCACGACAGTCCCACACCGTCCAACATTCAAATCGACGGTCAGTCCGAGCACAATAATGGCGTCAAGGGCTGTGCACTGCTCAAGGCGTCGTCGCGGCGATCAACCACGTCATCACATTTTCACATCACCGATTTTCATCATCCTCTCCCTAGCGCTCTTGGCGGCCAGCGTGTTGCCGCAGGCGCGAGCAGTGACGCGTAAGGACTTTGCGCGCGCGGTGAACAAGGTGGGCACATACGCCAGCATCCTGCTCTACTCGCCGGGTTACAAGCTCGAGCAACTCCGTAAGTCACAATCTTGTGAATAGACTGCTTTGCGAGTGGTGCTGCGTTTAAGAAGAGCATGTGACCGTAAGCATCTGGGTGCGGGCTCAAGGTAGGCTCGTACAACGACATGATTCAGCTCTGCTCGTCCGTATTCACGCTCCAATAACTACGTAAGTCACAAACTTGTACATAGTTGGCATCGCGACTCGCTGCATGAACTGGGTGTGGATTCAGCGAGGCAGGCGCAAACAACGGCGTTCTGCGCTACTTGTCCGGCTTCACGCTCGAGAAACTAAGTCACAAGCTCGTACGCTCGGTAGGTCAAGCATGTGATGCGGATGGACTTTGTGCGCGCGCTCAACAAGGTGGGCGCATACAGCGACATTCTGCTCAATTCGTCCAGCTTCACGCTCGAGCAACCTCCGTAAGTCGTCGGGTTTATCAAGTATGTATTGACAGCTGCGTATAACTTCGGGTTACCAGCTCGCTTGCAAGTCACTTCGCGAGTCCCAGCAATAAGGACAAAGCACGTGACCCGTAAAAATAACGGCCGCGCGTCTGAACAAGGTCGCAAAGTAAACGAAAATAATCGCAATTCGTCGGATAGTAAAATGGTCAAGCTACTTGTACTACAAGCTCGAGCAACGTCACTTCATTCGGTCAAACGGCTTTTTAGGCGCCTCAAAAGTCGTCGGATAGTAAAATACTCCAGCTACTTGTACCACAAACTCGAGCAACTTCACGTCATTCGGTCAAACGGGCACAAGACGTACTAGTATCTTTACACGCTGAAAGACCATGTATGATTCCATGTCGAAAGGCGACTCCATTCCATGTCATGCGAGGTTCGAAGGCTCGTTTCTAGCCCATTTCGCTCTAGCACAACGCAGCACACCGCGCGTTTCAGCGGCTTTATCCCCGCTCATCCACAGCGTATGACAGTCTTACAAGTGAGAGTGTTTCTCACTTCCGCGGCATAGTTGAAGTCCTATGCCTTCTGCCGCTCGAACTTTCTGCTTCAATTCATGCCTCTCTTCCCTCTGTCTCGCTCTTCTTTCCCCTTCCCTCTATCTTCTTTCCTTCCAGTGATGGAGGCTCGTGGTGTCCAGGGGCCGGTTACCGCGCTTCTTCCTGTTCGCGGGTATTTCGCCTACACTCGCTCGCACCGGATGGGCAAGGCGAAACTTCGCAGGGTTCGGCGTTACCACTTTCTCAACGGGACGTACAGTTACGAGGATTTGCAAGGGTTGATGCGGTACAGTAAGATCACGACCATTAACGGGCAGACAATAACGAAGATGAACAGCAACAAGTGGCCGCTGGTGTGGCTGCAAGGGGCTGCTGGTCCTCCAGCTGTGATTATAGAGAAAAAATACTACCGGGGGCTGTCACTCACCATCCACCTCATATCGCGGGTGTTAAAACCGAAGCTGAGATGAGATCAAGCACACGGTTTCAGTAAGGGAGGAGGGGGAGTAGGTCTGGAAAGGTGTGGCAGGACTGCTGTAGACTGGATGCAGCATTATCAGGTGCTATTTATTTGAGACTGAGGGTTTTTGAGGGGCAGGAGTGGCAAGGGGCGGAACATAAAGGAGGGGGTTGGAGGGGGTAGGGCTGGAGATCGCAGCTGAAACTGCTGGGGCAGAGGGGCGGAGGAAGTAAGGGCAGCAGGGCAGGTAACTCATTTGGCAACTATTGACAACTAATGTAGTTAGGAGATGATGGGGCTTAGGATGGTAGGGTCCCAGTGCCATGCTTTCACCCAGAGAAAATAAGCACAAGATGCAACAATGCATATTGTATTCATAAGCAGGATGACCTAGACTGATTATTTCGGAATATGAATGTTTCGTAATAAAGAGGAACTCGAGGCATGGGTGCTGCCCAAAGAATGGCTCATTTCTCCTCTGATCTGATTGATCAGCGGTTGTCTCAATCAACAAACTCAGCAGCACTCTCTTTCTCCGTTGGTTTTCAGGGTGAGTAAGATGTCTTGCTCGGTTGTCAATTGTGATGTATCCAGCATCGTCCCTGTTACTCAGTTGTATAAATCAGTGGGTGGAATAAAGAATAACGGTTCTACGGTATGATTGCAAAGTCTGTCACACCCCCCGGATATACCGTAAGCACAGCCCACAACCTTAAGCGCATGCGCTTATTATCAGGTTTATCCGTTATCCGGCATTCTATTAAGCGCAGGTTTAGGGTTGGGAGAGAAGGGGAAGCGTGATGACTTTTCATTCCTTGGACTAGTAGGTTTTGAGATGGAAAGCTCTTCTTTTCCCCCCATTAATAGAGTAGGAGAATGAAAAAATGCATTATATGCTTGTAGGCTGTAGTGGGGTAGTCCATATAGGGTACAACCCATTAGGGTTGCATACTTGTATCTCAATGCTGCCAATCACACATCATTCCGCTGTGCTATCATTCTGGCATGGTATCGGACACTAGGTTAGGTCCGCTGTCCGAACCTACTGCCGTACCTTCCGCTGCACGTAGCGCTGTCGAAGTACAATCTTACTTGTAGGCTATAGTGGGGCACTCCTTATGGGGTACAGCACTTCTAGGGTTAGTACTTGTACCCCAACTCTTGCTAATCCAATCAGTCCTGCACAGTTATTCTGACATGGTATTCAGAGCAGGAAACCTGTTAAGTTTTTAGGGCCCACCGATAGTTCCGCTCGTTCCTGCTCGAATCGCCCTTGCGCTGTCTGGCCCTGCTCGCACAGTGTCGCGTTGCCCTGCAGCTACTCGCACTGCCTGCCCTCGCACGTCGCGCCCTGCTGCAGCCTGCGAGTCGCGCCCTGCTGCCCTGCCCAGCGCGCGCCGCCCTGCCCTGCGGCCCGCGCCCAGCTGCCCTGCAGCCCGTGCATCGCGCTGCCCTGCCCTTAGGCCCGCGCGCTGCCCTGCCCTGTAGCCCAGCGCGTCGCACCCTGCTGCCCCTCGCGCCGCGCCCTGCTGCCCTGCCCAGCGCGTGCCCCACTGTCCTGCGCGTCACGCCTTGCTGCAGCCCGCTCGTCGCGCCCTACTGCTCCGCGCGTCGCGCCCTGCTGCAGCCCACGCGTCGCTCTCTGCTGCTCCGCGCGTCGCGCCCTGCTGCAGCCCGCACGACGCGCCCTGCTGCCCTGCGCGTCGCGCCCTGCTGCAGCCCGCGCGTCGCGCTCTGCTGCTCCGCGCGTCGCGCCCTGCTGCAGCCCGCGCGTCGCGCTCTGCTGCCCCGCGCGTCGCGCCCTGCTGCAGCCCGCGCGTCGCGCCCTGCTGCCCTGCACAGCGCGCGCCGTGCTGCCCTGTCCACCGCGCGCCCTGCCCTGCAGCCCGCGGCGCGCCCTGCCTTGCCCAGCCACGCCGCCCAGTCCTGCCGAGCCGCGCCGCCCAGCCCGAGCCGCCCTGCCCAACCCGAGCCGCGCCGCCCTGCCTCATTCACCAGACCCACCGAGCCGCCCTGCTGCTACTTCTGCTGCTGCTGCTGCTCGTGCTACTGCTGCTGCTGGTGGAGGTGCTGCTGGGAGTGCTGGAGGTGCTGCTGGTGCTGGAAGTGCTGGAGGTGCT